GACGTTTTTCGTCTGCTCTGCGGGCTCTATGGTGAGCTCATGTTCCGTGGTCTCAGGTCCGCCAGAGGAGCAGGGGATCCCGAAAACCACAGGGGGGCGGTGGGGACAGAATCGCTTCTCGTTTCATTCAAGTGATCTGATAAACTATCAGATCACTTGAAAACGAGCAGCGGCTCCACACTGTACACTTGGCTCTGCTTGTCCGGAGCGGGGCTAAGTGTACAAAAAAACTACTCACCCGGCGCCCGAAACTGCATGTCCCGGGCGTCAGGCGATAGGAATTCCACACCCCTGAAAGAGGACCTGTCATCTAAATTGGCTATCACATCGGGGGCTTCTTAGCCCCCCCCATGTGATAGCAATAAAGTTTTTTTTAACACTTAAGAGTAAAAAAAAAAAATTAAAGAAGCATTATTTTTTTATTTTAAACACAAATTTTTTTTCTCAAGTCCCCCGCCCCCCACATACACACGCAATTTTAAGGCTTGACATGTTTGGCGTCTATTTACCCGACGTGACCCAGTCTTCTATATTGTACCAAAAATATGGTTAAGAATAAATGTTTAACATAAAGTAAGGGGAAAAAAAAATGTTTTCTCGAAATTTACTGTACTTTGTTCATTATATAGTAAAAACATAACCCAGTGGTGATTATATACCTCCAAAAGAAAGTGCTATCTGTCCCTAAAAAATGTTAACATAAATTGCAAGGCTATAGTCCAGTCATGCTGGCTGGTGAGAAGCCCGATAGAGAAGAGAAGAGATCTCTCTATATATATATATATAGTAATTTTAAGTTTCAGAACGACAAATTTTGCTGCAGTTCAGTGCCATTCATGGTGAAAAGCCCGATAGAGAAGAGAAGAGATCTCTCTATATATATATATATATAGTAATTTTAAGTTTCAGAACGACAAATTTTGCTGCAGTTCAGTGCCATTCATTTATTCACTGGAACGCACGGTACTTCAGGGCCCTGCATTCCAGTGCAGTGCGATTTCACGAAAATGTGCATACCGTTTTATTCTGAAACTTTATGTTCGTAACTGCGTATTTTATTTTAAATAAATGGAATTTTTTTTTTTATCCGATCAAAGAAATAAATCGGTAAACAAATAGATTATGAAAATAATTGTTAGTTGCAACCCTATTAAAGTCCCAAAACTGTTTTGAGTATATGTCTTAAGAATTGGCAGGGATGATGGTACCATAGGTCATGGATAGTATACCATGTACTTAGGCCGTTTCTACTGTACGGTTGCACGACTTTTCTCTCCCGTGCAGGCTTGATTCTCGGCAGGTTAGTGCCATTCTCGGGAGACAAATGCGAACGGGCCGGTGTGCGCATGCTCGTTCAGCATGGCAGTCATTGGAAGCCTGCCCCTCAGGAGGGCGGACTTTTGATGATCGCAAGCACGATCTGCCTGTCCAAGATGGGCAGATCGTACGAGCTTTTAATTAGCTTACAAGCATCGCACAACGAAGTCGTGTGATGGTTGTAAGGTGTATGGGCACCTTTAGAATGTTTTGTGAATCCAGTTTTTTTTTTTTTTTTGTGGTTGACAACTATTCTCATAATCGATTAGTTGGTTGCAGCCCTATTTGAGACCATTGTTCTGACACACAACTGAATGCAGCTGATGTGGACAAGCCCTAATAAACAAGATGACCAGCTGCATATTTCATGATCCACGGTTAAGCGTGGAGCTATGTACATATTTTAGACATAATAGTCTATGGGGTACAATGCCATAGTGGTGTGTTTTTACTGCTCCAGAAGGAGGTGAGATCTAGGGGATCCAACTAATCGATAATGTGAATAGTTGACAACTATTCTCATTATTGATTATAATCGATTAGTTGGTCTGCAGCCCGCAGCAGGGCTAAATGTAGAAAAAAAAAAAAAGGACACCTGCCTTGCACACGGAACTGCGTGTTCTGGGCATCAGGTGATAGGATTTGCGCACCCCTGAACTGCACCTGCTTCAGGATGCATGTAAAAAGCTGTCAGTGACAGCTCTGCCCCTGTGTTGGGAGCATGTTAGGGTAGGTTCACACCTAGGCGATCACGCGGATTTAGCCACGCGATGTCGCACAAAACAGAGATATGCATTCAAGTCCATGGAAGCTGTTCACACCTTTGTTGCACGGTAGAAATCGCCTGTCGCACAAAAAGGTACAGGAGCGATTTTCGGGCAGATGTCACGCGATTTGGGTCCCATAGACATCTCTATGCATTGAAAACCGTGCGACAACCACACGGTTTTCAAAGCAAAATCGTGCAAACAGAACCGCGCAACCACACAAAAACAGCTCACCAGCTCAGTCGCTCAGGTGTGAACCTAGCCTTAGCGAGCAGCTCTCTGCACAGAATAGAAGTCCAGCTGGCAGATTTACTACAAGTTATGACCTGAACGTCCGCTTTCTTCTTGTTTCCTGAGTCACTTTAATATGCACTATAATATTTTTATATTATTGTTATGGTACCACAAATGACACACCCCGAAAAAAAACATTTACAGAAACTTTTTGCACAGGGACCCTTTTTCAAAGACATCAAGCGCAACTTTTGTACCTCACCTTCTGAATCACAAACTCGCTATTCTGAAACAATGTTTTTTGTTTTTTTTTCCCCTTTAGCAAGAACATGCTAAAAGCGTAATGAAAACGACAGCTTTCACACAAGAACCAGGCTCACCGTAGCCTTGCTTATAAGGAAGACGGCCTCCCGACTAGCCAGGGACACCTCCGGATCGAATTTCATTAACGCTTTCACCCGCGACAACGGAAGCTTCACGAGTTTCGGTATTGGAGCAGTGACGCATTCGGACTTCTCACCCGCCTGCTTGACACACAGCTCAGCTTCAGAACCGTCTGTGTGTTTTACTGCGATATCCAACACTACTGCCTCCTCCTCAGCAGCCATCATCTACACACAAGATAGCACCGGGAAATTCCTTCCAATCAAAACAAGGGAAACACCCACAACGTGCTCCAGGCTGACGTTAAAGATGTGCGCCTAAACTCATGCGTTATTGGGTCGTGAACAGAAGCTTTTGCTGCCGTGTAATCTTGTTTAGATATACCAGCTCGTCCGCTAAAACGCGGTCTGGACAGTTGCGGCAATGTGCTTTGTATCGCACGCTGCTCTGAGCTGTCACTGTTTATATATTTTTTTACTTTATTTGTAATGTACAATGTGTACACTCCATGCAAGTTCTCGCAGAGTAGAACTTGAAGCCACATAAAAAAAGGTAACAGCCTGTTCACAATATAGCGGTGACCTTTGTTTTTCTATAGAGGAAAAACGCAAAGACAATTGTTTTATATGTGCCCTGTTCACACCACAACGTGTGTGTGATTAGTGAAGTTACCAATGACAGATACAGAAGTCAGTCTGTTGTTTACTTGAATGGGCACAGCTGCCACATCTGTACGAATCCATAGGCTTTGCCACAGGAAGCCGCAGCCTTAAAATAGAACTATGGGGTAAGTGGTTTTCCCTATAGTTCTCTTAAGGGTCACAGGAGGACATATACTAGCGTCCTCCCGTGACCCAAAGCTCAGTATAGCAAAACAAATGGCAAACGCGCTCATCAATTTGTACAGGCACCTCTATATAGGTCCTATCTATGAACTATGAGAGTCTCCATGTTGGAGCACATGTGGCATAAGATCAGTGCGTTTGCCATTTGTTTTGCTTGACTGATTTGGTGCAGTGACGTATGGGGGGTCTCAGCTGCCGTTGTGATTGTGTGTCCCTGTGCCTTTAAGGAGGTTGGGCTTCCTCCTGACAAATCTGCACCCAATTTGATCCTTTGCTACATGTGCTTCAAGATGGAGACTCCTACAGTTTAGAGTTAGGACCGCACTATATAGAGGTGCCTTGGCGAGGCTGTGCGGCTTTCACATTTGCTGCAGAAGTAATTTTACTCTCACAATAGTTCTTTTTTAAAGCTCTGTGTGAGTGAAGCCTAAGATGCAAATAATTGGCATCACTGGACGCAATAATTACTCCCAGCATCGGTCAGTGGACCCAAAAATACCCCCTGAGCATTGGTGGTAAGTGTGCTTTATTTATTATCTTTTCCCCCCTGAATTGGTGAGTGGTCAGTGGCATTGTTAATTAACCCCTTTCCCCACCTTGCATTGGTGGGCAGTCAGTGGAAATTAACAATGCCACTGATCACCCACCAATGCAAGGGGGGGGGAGGGGTTAATTAACAATGCCACTGACCACCTACCAATGCAAGAGGGAAGGAGTTAACTGCTGTGTGCCACTGACCATCCACCAATGCAAGAAGAGGGAGGGACTGCTTTCACACTGCAGCTGCTTTCCCACTTCTAAAAAGAAACAGCTGTGCCCAGGGCACACACTTCCTCTGCACCGCCCCCTTCCCCCTCCTTATTGTATCTGAGGTCTAAGCGGTTGCAGTGCAAATCGCACTGCATTGTCACAAACTAAAAAGAAAACTAGGTGGTCACAACATCAGGGCACCCCGTTGCCCAGAACACTGGTGCCATGGTGTACCCGCACTGCAGCACCAGGGAGCGCAGCAGGCAACATTTCTGGGGACCCTTGTTTCCCAGGCACAGACCCCTCAAAACGGGGACAAATGGTAACCATAGTATATGGCCAGCTTTACAGATAAAGGGAGAATACTAGTGGGTCTATTTATAAAGTTAAAAAATGCACCGCTATTTGTCCTGCAAAACTGCATGCAAATTTGGTCACATACTTTATTGTTTTTTTTGTGCTGGAGCCTGAGCCGTCAGTCTGGCTATCCGCTTACTGTACATAGGGTCTCTGCTCCGACAAGAAGATGAGAAAACTGCAGAACATTACATTATGTGAACTTAATACTACTCGCTAAAGTGCATACATCAGCCGAAGGCAAGCGAAAGAAGAACAAGCTCTGTCTTTGCAAAGGCAGATGAACAGCTGGAGCGAGGAGAATGGTCCAGCAAAGTGACCTGAAGCAATGAATATGTTGGTAAACATTAACATAAAAAAAAAACAGCGTGTAGTCCCCTCCTCAATTCATACCAGACCCTTTAGGTCTCGTAGGAATTTTAGGGAGGACCCCAACGGCAAGAAAAAAAAAAAGCGATGGGTCCCCCTTAAATCCCATACCAGACCCTTGATCCGAGGAGCAGCCTGGCAGAACAGGAAAGGGGGGGGGGGTCATGCGTGCAGCCCCCCCTGCACCATATCAGGCCACCTGCTCCCAACATTGGGAAGGTGCTTTGCCGGGTGGGGGGCACCCCCTGGAAAAGCACCTTTTCCCCATGTCGTGTCCCCCTGGACCAGTGGCTGTGGGGGTCTGCGGGCAGGGGGGCTCATCTGCATCTGGGTACCCCCTTTTAAAAGGGGGCACCCAGATGCTGCCCCCCCTGTGAATGAGATTCCTATAAGCCCCCCTGCCCACAACCACTGGGCCAGGGTTGTGGGGGGCAGCGGGGCTTATAGGAATCTAAGTTCCCCCCCTTCATGAAGGGGCATCCAGATGCCGCCCCCGTTATAGATGAGTAGGAGGTAGTTATTACTCCTACTCATTTACCAAATATACTTAAAATAGTAAATAAACACACCACACTGTACACAAAGTACATTTATTTGAAAATAATATACCACCCAGGTTTTTGACCTTTATGTACCCCCAAAAAAGTCCATCGATGTAATCCATCATCAATCACATCGTCCTGCAATGTAGATCCACGTCAATCACAATGGACGATGAAAGAATACAAATACACGACGCACGCTAACATGTCCCATCCTGACGAACACTGCTGCAAAATGGCAGGCTGACAGCTCTGCTCCCCAATGTAAACAAAGGGGCAGAGTAAGTCAGGACATCACAAGACTTGTTCCTCCCATTGGTTGACATTCCATTAGGAGACAGAGAGCACCTCTGTACGCAGACTCTCACAACCAGCAGGCCAGGGTTGTGGGAAAGAGGCCCTTGTCTTCATCGACATGGGGACAAGGTACTTTTCCAGGGTGTTCCCTCCCTGGATAAGCACCCTCCCAATGTCAAGGGCATGTGTGGCCTGGTATGGTGCAGGAGTGGTAGCCACACACTCGTCCCCCCTCCCCTATTCCTGCTCTGCTAGGCTGCTGCTCGGATCAAGGGTATGGTATAGGATTTTAGGGGTCCCCATGCTTTTTTTTTTGCCATAGGGACTCCCCCTAAAATTCCTACCAAACTTAAAAGGTCTGTTATGAATTGGGGAGGGGACTACATCTTTTTGTATGTTACCTTTAATGAACCGCACATGTCTAATGCCTACTTCACTACGTCTGGAGGTAGTGAACAGAATCACCGAATCGGAAGACTCTAACAGGTCCCGGCAAATAGGAAATTGTTTATTTTTTTTAAACAATCATTATTTGTTTACCTTTATTATTTATTTACATTTTGAAACCTTTTTTTAACTTTTTTTTTTCCAACTTTTTTATTGAGTTACTATTCTGCTCGGTACCACGGAGGTACCGAGCAGAATAGCCGGGCCAAATGCCGCTCGGTGGCATTCGGCTATTCACTCACTGCCTTTCGGCCCCTATGTGCATAGCGGCCAACGGCAGAGAGTGAGCTGCCAAGCTTCGGCTCAGCCGATCCAGATGTTGGATCGGCTGAGTCGAACTCCTTCTGCACTTCGCCTCAGCCAAATATGCAGCGCATGTTTGGCTGACCGAAGTGCAGCCGAAGCCAGCCGATGTACGACTGAAATCAGCTGTACAAGCCTGAAGTGAATAGCCGAACACCGTTCTGCTCACTTCACTTCGGGTGGGTTACTCATTTGTCTGCCTTCGGGAGCTTTGTGAATAACCCTCTGTAATGTTACATTGTTTTATCAGAGGAAAGGACATTGTACAGTAAAAAATAGTTCCGTGAAGTGATCTCTGCTGAATATTTGTTTTTTGTGTTATTCGTTATCAGTTTAGCAATTGTTTACAATATTTCTATTGTGATGGAGTGTGTTTATGAAGGACTCAGATATATAAAATATGAAAAAATATATTTATTTGATTTTAAATTCTTGTTGGTTTAAAAGATTCATGCAGTTCAATAAAATATTGTTTACAACTTCTCTTGTGTTGATGTTCATGTGCAATTCACAAATACATATATCTAATTCTATGACTATTGCTGATTGGTATATTCGTGATGCACTAAAAATGAATTAATATTGATGGATAAACAACCAATGTGAATAAGATTCCCCATGCATAAAATATCAAGCTATCAATAACAAATGAAAAAGATAAATATTGATATTTCATTGAAAAAGGAAATATCATTAAAGTATATATATAACTAGAAACTGAAAATGAAATGAATGGAAGTTTACTGATAGATTGTATGTTGATGCCATCCTGTGGTTCAATATTAATATATATGGTATTATATGATATTCTTTCTTTTTGAAAAAACAGATTATTGCTGAAAGTCGGTATACACAAACATACAGAGTGAATATATCCCACTGAGGAAGCCTTTCTGGGCGTAACGCGTAGGGGACTCATCAAATAGTAATATACCTGTATTAGAAAGTATCAATTATGTGTATATTCTTATCCACATGAATGTATTGAAAATGTATGAAATACGGTTTGCGAATATACCAATCAGCAATAGTCATAGAATTAGATATATGTATTTGTGAATTGCACATGAACATCAACACAAGAGAAGTTGTAAACAATATTTTATTGAACTGCATGAATCTTTTAAACCAACAAGAATTTAAAATCAAATAAATATATTTTTTCATATTTTATATATCTGAGTCCTTCATAAACACACTCCATCACAATAGAAATATTGTAAACAATTGCTAAACTCATTAATTAGGAGGTGTGGACTCAGGTCGCCTAGGGTGGGGTCTGGGAAGTACCATTACTGGATTGATTCGTTATCA